GGCACCTGGTGATGGGCACAAGGAGGCTTCGTGCAACCTCTGACAGGGACCCGATCACCCTGGGGAGGACCCCAGAACACGCCTGCCATGACTTTGAGTGTTTCTTCAGTGGTAGGGTCCCCCGTTGGTGATCCCTCGAGGTTGGTTGGTCATCTCGACGGATATTTGTGGGGCTCCACCTCCCCTATATGTCTTCCATATGCCAGCCTCCGGCGGGCCACCTGATCTTGAGGCGGCTGGCTCCCCGGTCTTGATGACTCTTACCCGTTGCACGTTCCCAGGTATTGGGTCATCGTCTTCTCCTCACGGACTATGAGTCGGTTGGATATTTTCCTTTCCTGCGGGTCACTCTTGCTTCCTGCCAGATGTCTGCCGCTTCTTGTGAGCAGTCCTAGGTGTCCGGCTGCCACCCGGACCCCTCAACGAAGAGTAGCCAAGCAAAGTATTAAGAAAGATAAAACCAAAGACAACTGAGGAGTAGGCACAGGTTAGTAGGAAATGAAAGGGAAGACTGCACAGAAAAGAAGAAAAAAAAAAGGCAGGTGCATGATAAAAACTAAAGATCAGGCTGGATCACCTTACTTAACTGGCTCTGCTCTGAAGCCTGTACCTAGCTGCATCCCTCAATGCTGTTCTGCTCTCTGCCCTACTTAAGAGCTTCCTGTGTTTCTGCCTCATGGCTAATTATCCTCCCCTGACCCAGTCCATACGTGCCCAGTGTGGGGAGTGTTCTACTTTTCCAGTTCTTCTCTGTGCTCTTCCTGGAGTGGGGTCTCTTCCCACACGCCGGTGCTGCCCGTGACCAGTGTGGGGTTCTTCAGCAGCCGTTGCTGCCTGGGCATCCCTGCCTGATCAGTGCTTCCTTTGTTGTGCCAGCGCTGACCGCCGCCGGCATGGAGAGCATCCGCAGCCTCTGCTGCCTCTCCCGCTCTTGCCACTTTGCAGCTGGTGCTGGCTTTTATCTTGGCCAGCTGGTGATCATCCATGACATCACCCGCCGGCCCCAGCTATATATAGGCGCAGCTGATGAACTGTGTGGGCTTCTCTTGTCGGCGCCTTTCTTCTGGAGTCCAGAACTCTAAAGCGGGTAAGTAATCTTTATTTTCGGGGTTTCCCTTCTGGGAGTGCATGCCCCCCGTGCTTATGCCTCTGGGACATGCACTTTACCCAAAATAAAAAAGGGGGCACTGAAGGGAAGTACTTTAGAAACATTTTCAATATGGAAGGAAGAAACTACACAAAACTTCCTTAATTAATTGATATTTATACCCTTTTTCGGTAACCAAGCATTTTTATCTCATTTTGGAAATGAGAAAACTAAAGGTACTAGACTTTTTAAGTGACCTTGTCCAAAGTCCAAAAAAGAGCTTCTGGCAGAAATAGAACTTAACCTAATCCTCAAATCTAACCACAAGACTGGTATAAAGAATCTGTTAAGAACTGAAAATACTTCAGAGCAGAATTACATCAAAGTATCTTAAACCAAAAACCCAATCTTGAACACTGACAGATTTGTCTGCAATGAAAGCTCCTATTCTGGCTCTGTTCTGTATGTCCTGAATGCAGCCACTGTTGCAGATCTTTTGTGAACAGTAAAATTGTCCAGAACCCTTGCAGAACTGAACTGAAAAATATGTAAACCTTCAATGTGTACAGGTAGAAGAAGGCAAGATATCCAGATTCTCAGTTTCCAACGTATATTCTTAAATAATTTTTGGCTAAGACACAAGGTTGTCCAATGACTGTTAACTTTCTCAGTTTAGGGTTGTGTGCTATCTTTTACTCAAGGCAGTGTTTCTTTTAATAGAACTAATTGTATAAATTCAGTAGTTTGTCTTGTAGATAAAATAGGAGCAGGTGTTCAAATGATGAAAATAACTACCTTTTTCTCTCCAACTCTTACTAAAATTAATGTGAAAAGTTATTGGATGTGTCATTTCAAAACATTTTGAATACTTTTTGTTGTGAAAGACATTAAAATATTCAACCCTTTCCAACCTACCTTCATGTTGGGTTTTTGTTGTTGTTGCTGGGGTTTTTTTAAGGATGTTTATGGTACTGTTGTAATATGCGTGTACACTGTTTTGAATTAGTTCTTATCCCAGAACTCAGTAGTACTCAGCCTTTGAATATGGTAAATCTGTAAGATTTAGATTATCTGTATGTGCTTTATATCCTTTATCTCTTGCATTGTTATATTAGACAATTCTTCCATTTATAGGATAATCGGGTTCATTTGTGTTTCTGGAAATTTAGCTCTGTCTAATCTGTACAAAAGGAACCTTCATCTCCAGAACTAGAACACTAAGAAGGAAAAGAAAAATTAAAATAACTATTTCTAAAATAACTTATGGATCATTCAGTTTAGTTCTGAAATCAACTCTTTAGGTTTCCTTCCTGTTGACCTGACATGGATGATGCCAGACTGAGTTAGGATCAACCAAAAATGGCCCCTCATCAGTTGGGGTAAGAATATATCCACGCTCAGATCAGATGTTGTTTAGGCATCTCAGCGTACAACTTACAACTTTTCAGAATCTCATTATTCTGCTTTTCACAAAACTTTTCAGTGCAGAAGTTTTGTTAAATGCCCTTTGTTGGTACCATAGTAGATTCTTCCTTAAGACATCATAGGGCCAGACTTAAAAATGAATAGTAAAGCCATGCTGCCAATCTGCAGAGCAGGATTTTCTTCAAATACAGTTTCTAGTACCTCCTCCATTCCAGTTCAGTCTTCCAACCCATCTTAAAAATAATGCGTCTCTACCACTTTCAGTTGCATGACATTTAATAGATCTTGTGATTAGGGAATGATTTCTGATATTCATCTTATATCTTCCTCTTGTTTTGGGGTTCTGTTTCTCCTGGTTATAGCTTTTTGAGTAATCTGAAAAAAAGAATTCTTATCCTTTAGTGTTACACCTTTAAATAATATAGACAGCTAACTTTTTGCCTGTGAACTAAACTATATAGGTATTTTAATCTTCCTTCATAAATAAGTGTCTCCAGCTCCAGGAAGAGCACATACCAACTGCTGAAGCTTCCTTAGCCTGACGAAGGGTTGTTGAACCCGAAAGCTTGCTTAATAACTATTCTCCAACCATTTGCGTTGGTCTAATAAAAGATATCAAATTCACCCAAGGAACCTTGTCCAGCTCCTTAATCATTTTTGTTGCTCTTCTCAGAATTCACTGTAATTTGTCACTACCTTTCTTGTATTAAGGTGCCTCAGACTGAATGCAATGTTCTAGATGTAATTGCCTCTCTTTACCATTACTTGATGCCTCTGTTTATACAAAGGCTATTTTTATCATCACTATATCTGGCAAACTCATAGTTAATTTACAGTCTACTATTGCCAGCAGGGCTCTCTTAGCATGCCTCTCTCTCATCTCCTGCCTCAGATCTGTATTATTGAATTCTTCTTCCCAGATTTCATAGCTTGAATTTTCCGACTTTCAATCTCATTCACATTTTGCTCATGTCTCATTTCTCTAGGGTTGATTTTTCCAACCTTTGTTGATGTACTTGCCAATGTTATCCTCCTTCAGTTTGTTGTCTCTATCACAGTGGGAAAAGAATTTCTATTTGTGGGGGAGGTTTGCATAAATGGTGAAACCCTGATAATATCCAGATCTCGGACCAGCAAAAGCCTATGATATTAAGCCAAGTTGACAACTCTTCATGAAGAGTGGCACCCCAGATTTAAATTTGGATCGGAAGGAACTTAATTTCACAAAATTTCACAAAATTGCACAGAATGAATAGGGTATAAACCCTATTCATTCTGTGCAATTTTGTGAAATTGTGTAATGTCCAAGGCATTTATTTAATCTGTAATATAAAAGATGAAGCAAAAATAATTAAAAATATGCCCTGCTAAAAGTTAAATATTACTAAAGTTAGGTACAGGCAATCCCCACTTAATGCTGCTTCACTAAGCACTATTTTGCTATAATGCTCATTTTACATTGATACCCAATTCCACTTAGTGCTCAGCGAGTTTCATTATAACGCTCATGGTGACCATCTTGGTTCGTCAAAAACTTTTGGTTTCCCTTAACGCTATTTCTCTTAACACTCTGGTTTTTTGGGAACCAGTTAACAGTGCTAAGTCGGGGTTGTCTATACTAAGAAATTGAAAGGAAAAAGGGCTGTATCATCACACAAAAAAGTTGGGAGAGCTTAAGTCCCTCAGACGTCCTCTCCACTAACCTATGCATCACCTGCATTTTCACCTTTTTATTAATTCATCTTTTTTCAGAAGTGTTATAAGCACTCATGAAAAGTTTCACTGGACTGAAAGAATTCATATAGCCATTATAATTTAACTGTGAGATTAATTATGGGCATTGGACTAAAACCATGGGCAAATCACACTCAGGTTATGGCAGTAACTTAAATTTCCAGGCACTGAATAAAAGCCTGACATGCCTGTTTTAAAATTTTAATTTAAAGTTTGTGTGTGTGTATGTTTGTATGTATTTGTGCATGCATGTATGTGTGCGCGCGCGCGCACACACACGGCAAATTCATTTGCTGCCAATTGTCTGCTAACTCACACCATCTTGGTCCTTATCAGAGTTAGAGTAAGTAACATTAAGCAGTAAATTTACCCAGTGGAGATTGCTTAAGTTCTTAAGCAATTTATTACAATAAATAGAACATTTTTGCATTATTATGTATGGGAGTCTAACATTGATGATGAAAGTTTTGATACTATTGCAGTTCAATTATACTTTTCTGCTTTTTCTCCTACTTGTGAGCTACAGTATTGAGACTTGTCTGTCTAATAGATGGGAGCTATTTATCTGATTTACTTGTTTGTCTAAATAGGAGCTATTTATCTTATTTCCTAGTTTTGATAAAGTAGACTAATGTAGGAGTTTTTATGTCAATGGTTGTTTCCCTAAGCGATGATCAGTGCAAAACAGCAGTTTCTGTTTGTGTTTAATGTAATAGCATACTTGTGCATTTAAAATAATTTTATTTACCTACAGGAGGAAGAAGAAACTTATGAACAAACTCTAGAGTTCCGCAGAGGAGGTGATGGTCAACCAAGAAGGTCTACACGACCTACCCAACAATTTTATCAACCCCCAAGGGCTAGAAACTGAATATAGGAAATATAAAGGTAAATATGTTGTAGGAAAATATTGTGGTTTTGATTTCAACAAATTTATGTTGAATGGGTCCGTACCTTACTGTTACTCAGTTAAAGGAAAGGAAAATCTTTACGCGATATGTTATTGCAATTTTGTCAATGACAGGATTGCCTTGAGTTCTACCACACTACATTAATGAATAGATTAAAGAAATAAAATAAATTACAGTAATTTATAAAGGCACAGTTTTACAGGTTAGAATTCCTTAGAAATGGGTTTCTCATAAAAAAAATTAATAAACAAACAATAACACAGTAAATGCTGCCTTAACCAGCACCTTACAAGCCAGCATGCACCATTAACCAGCATGCTGGCTTGTGAGGTAAAAGCAAAACCAGAAGTGCCCACCGTGGCACTTCTGGTTTTGCCAAGCCCCCATGGCCTGGGGCAAAACAACCTGTATGGGGTTCCCCTCACTGTCCCTCTGGGCCTGCAGGAGGGGTGGCGATGCGGCGGGAGGGGCGGTAGCCCGAACAGGTAAAGACGCCTGTTCGTGCCTCTCAGTTAACTGGCATATTTTGTTATCCAGCACCCCCCATTCACCGTGGGTGCTGGATAACAAAGCTTTTGCTGTACATGATATAGCCTGCTTTATATTGGAATAATGGAATTCTTCAGAGGTATTTTAAGAAAGGATCTACCTAAATCATGCCAGAAGTGCGCTGCACAGTGGTTCCTTGCTCTTTTCACCATACATGCTCCCCCAATCTCCCTTAGCTTCTGATTTGGCAGTGGGGCCCTGGCAGTCTCACTGTTAACTCCTGATTGGCTGGGAGGTAAAATGCACGGTTTTATATATGCCACAGGTTTTGCCTTCCAGCCAGTCAGTAGCAAGCAGCAGGAGGCAAAAATTGTGGCCGGTTTAAAATGAAGGTTTTTGCCTCCTGACCAGTCGTGAATGAATGGCGAGCAGCGGGGCCATCAAGTTCCTTTGGCCAATCTGGTTGTGGGGAAGGGAGTGCAACAAAAAGAGCAAGATTAAAGGAGTCTCTGTGCAGCACACTTCCAGCACAATGTAGGTAGATCCCTAATTATAAGACATGAGGTCAAAATTCAGTGCTTACCACATAGATATTTTTATAGCTCAGTATATGTATTTTGTGTTGTTGGCTTTTAAAATATTTGATTTAATAACTATTCTATCTTCAGAAGTTTTTTATTTTTATAGTATTTCATCAAGTTGATTAATAGAACAGAATACTATATCATCTTTTAACTTTTGTAGTTGCTGTCTAATTCAGAAATAATTTCTTGCAACTAGATATATTAAACCATATTTTGGAATTTTTGTTCTATATACTCTTGTGAATATGGAAATACATTATAGAGGATAAAATAGGTTTCTGTTTTTATAGTATGTGTTGTTGGAAGAAATGATTGACAGTATCCTACAGGAAAAATAGAAAAAAATGAAACAAACCCCATGCCCCACCAGTTATGCCTTTGAAAAACTGCTCATGATGGATTATAATTCTTGCTTGACATGTTTACACTGATAAGTGCTTTATATGTGCATATGTGGAGAAAGCTGCCTTCCCCTGGATTCCTTCTGTTTACTTTCAGGTTATTTTTTTTCTTAACCAGATATCTCTTCCCTCATTCCTTGCCTATAAGGTCAAATTCTCCCTTCAGATACATAGGCCCATCACCTACTGATTTCAGTCTTTCCTACTTTTGTCTAAGAGTCCAAACTTCAGTTTCTTTAAGACTTACTAATCCCTAGAAGAGAACCCACAGCTCCTACATTTGGAGACAACTTTGTGCTTATCTAGTTAGTGAGTGGCTGCCCAATTTCAGCATAAAGCAGGTCCTAAAAATCTTCACCATTGTTTGAAGTTTTCATAAATGCTTGTTTGCAGCTATAATTTATTAATTTAGCATTTTTAACATTCAGATGACTCATCATCCCTGGAAAATGTGTCTGGCATTCACACTAATTTAAAAGAAACCACACAATCTCAAAAAAGCAAGCAAGCATAACATTAGTCAATTAAAAGAAAATTCCCAATTTTTTAATTAAAAAAGTAACCCAAAATCCACATGTTTCCATGATTAAAATGAAATGCCACCAATACACACATGCGTGCTCCCACGCGTTTCATTTTAATCATGGGGAAATGTGGACTTTGGGTTCCTTTTTTAAATCCAAAAACTGGCAATTTTTTTTTTTTAAATCAGAGACTACCAGGGTCCCTGGTCATCAAGCATTTTGTGCCTGTTTACATTCCTCCTATTCTTGGACCTAGAAAATATTTTAAATCTTTAAATGTTGATCAAATGTCTGTCATGGGCAAAGAGAGCTTACTTAAGTCACACCATCTTTTGTGAGTATTGATAATGCATCTCTTTGCCTTGCGCCTGAATTTTGAGTAATTAGTTTTACTAACCAAGTACTTAGTTGGTTTTTGTAAGTGTCTTTGTTGGTATTCCTCCTCATCCTCCACATAGCTCTACATATACCAGTTTTAGCACCACTGCAAGTTTTATCTTCTAGTAGTTTTGAGGCCTAAGGATTTGACTTCTGTGTTGCTTGCATATTTCATCCAATAGCTATTTAGTGCAAAATGCATAAAAAGCATGTTGGAGCAGGAAGCAGATCTCATGACTTCCTCCCTCCCTCCCTCCCCATCTTGCTCGCTCCCTTTCTGACTTTTGTATTCTTCCATGAAGTATACCAGCTTCAACAAGAGCAATGGAAGATGCCCTCAGCCCTGCTGAGCTCATTACCTGTTGTGGTTAGGGAACTATGGTTTTAGCACTCTTGTAGCTGACGGGCGAAGAGGTAAAAATCTACATCTCACACTTTCTGGAAGAGTACTCTTAAGGTTATTGTGAAAAATATTTGGGTGTCAGTCTCCTACTTCTACCTGGCTTCAGCTGGTTTTTGGCTCTCTAAGGAATGAGGCTTGTGCGGAGGCTAGGTGCATTCTAGAGTTCTAGTAGAGTTCAGAAGTCTGGTAGCCATTTAAAATTAATTGTGCATGTACACTAGGCTGAGTTTAGTCATCTAGCGGTCGTTACAGGCAAAAATGGGGGTGACTAACAAAAGTAGATGCTTTAAATATTTTTGTGGCTGATGCATAAGTTGAGATAGAATCACATTTATTGAATAAGGTGCTTAAAAGTGCCACATAGAAGCCATAGAGGACCAGGGTATTTGAATCAGGTCTTTTTTTAATGGGGCTAATACCTCCCTTATTTTAAGACAAGCAAATCACTGAATGATGGAAGTTAAGAGTAAAATTTTCTAGTAGATAAGTTATTCTATAATAGCTCTCACTGGATTTGCTGTACCCTTCTTTGGAAGACTCTTTTACTGGCTAGAGAGAGAGAGACAGGATATTGGTTTAGATGATTAGTTGCTCTGATCAAGTGTGACAAACACCATCTACTTAACACTTTTCTAAAATGTCAAATGCAATTCTCATGGGAGATGGCTAGGTTTAGGTGTAAACTTTATAACAAAATTCACTCTAGGAGTTAATTTTTTTTTAACTCTATACTTGATTTTAAAAGAAAATCAGGAGCAATTTTGAAAACATCTTGCTGAGTACAATTTTTCAAAAAGTATTTGTTTTTTAAATGACATCTTTAATTAATTTTCCTAGTATGTTTAAAACTTGCTATTTTTCATCCTCATGATTCCTCAGCTCAAGAAATGAGATATTTTTCTCTCCCTTATTTCTGCCCAGAAGCTATTTACTTGAAAATCTGCTCAAGGAAGATACTTCCAGTAGTTATTTGTCATCCAAAACTGGGGTTATTGGCCAAATGCAGAATATGCAGCTTAAAGTCTGTGAAAAACTTGGCTAACATTATCAGTCTCAATACAATATGGTATTTTGCATTTGCATCCATGCAAAACAAATATCAAACATAATGGGGATTATGAGCATCTAATATTCTTTGCCATTGACAGCAATTGACCATGAGACAACGTAATTAGCAGACTGACTGATACGAAGATGAAAAAAAAAATTGACTTGCTCTTTTTGCCTGTTATAATGGGAAACATCAGGAATTATGATTAAATATAAACTGTTTAAAAATATAAAACATGTAGCATATAAGGTTTCAATACCAAACACAAATAATGAGTAAGAATATAATATGAAATATAATAAAATATGATCCATTTTTACACCAAAAATGAATTACTTAAAACCAAATCACACTTAATTATTTGGCTGTCTGAGTGAATTCATTAATTAGCGGGGGGAGATTTACCATATTTACTCAAATCTGAGATGTTTCTAATTTTAAGACAACCCTCTACAATAATTAGATTCTATGCATGGAAAATGTATTAATTTGTTGTAATTTTTCCATGTATAGTATCTAATTATTGGAGGGTTGCCTCTAATAAATCCCTCCCACTGCTGCGGGAGGCAGGTGGTGTGGGGAGGTCAAGCAGCTTGCCTGTGCTGCTTGTGCCTGTCCCTCTGCCACATCTGCCCACTGCAGCATTTGCTCCTTATTCCCCGCCCCGACCCTTTCCCTCCCCCCTTCCCCCTTCCCCCTTTGCTCCCTCCTCCTGCACTTTTACCTTTGCTCCATATTGGTAGGCTTCACCCTGTTCTAGCCTGGGGCACTGAGCATGCCCCCAGCATCCAGTCATGCTGTGTATCGCTGCTATGGGACTGAATTGGAGAGCCTGGCAGTGTGGAGAAAGGGTAAGGGGAGGGAGAGAGTCAGGTAGGGGAACAGAGCCTGAGTGGAAGTGCATGTGGGGAAAACGCTGCAGGAGTGAGCTGGCGGGGTACAGAGGTGATGCTGGGGGTGGGGAGTGGGAGAGCAGACAGCAGTTGTGGGTATAGCGTTGACCCTGGGTAGGGGCTGGAGCCCGAGCCACAGCAGCTGCCTTTCTCCCCTCCTGCCCCTAACCGGCCTCCTACTTGATTCTGGGATGGGCTTTTTTCCTCATGTTCAATGGGGTGGGGAAAAACCTCATCTTAGAATCAAGTAAATGTAGTATTTATATGAGGTCAGTGAATGCTCATATTTAAGCTTAGATGTCTTGTAATATTTCCAGGTAAGTCTTTAAGTTTATTCCTTCTGGTCTCTGCAGTGCAGTGAGGTTTCCCAAAAGGTGTTTGCTGATAAATCCTTTGAACAATGAGCTTGATCTCATGTAATAGGTGAAAGGCTCCAAATGTCCTGTTTGTGGATGACATCAGAGGTACAGAGGCTAGAAATATATTTATTCTTTCTGTTGCTTCTTAGAACGTTTAATGGGGTGGCATTTCATCTGAAAAGCATAATTTGATACTGTTTTGGCAGGGAGTGAAAACTGATAATTGTTCCATTTAGAAGTTTCATTAAAGGTAAATGTAAGAAACTCATTGAGGGATAGCTTCATCTTAATTTGCCTTTGTATGTTTCTCCCTAACCCTACGCGGTTAGTTAGTTATTGGTCCTCAAGGAAGTAGTTTGTATTCTTTATGCATTTTATGTACAGTTTAGTTTTGTACAAGCATTAAACATCTTCTATAGAAGCACTAAATAGCATGCTGAAATTATATTAAAAAAATTTAAATCTTTAAAGCTTTAAAAGATAGGTAATTTTTTAATGCCTACATCTCATTTGCAAAAGCAAATCAGAGTTTAGAAAGGTGTAACAATTGTATTGTTATCAAAGGATACTGATACATGCCATGATGGTACAACTGTTATGTCTGCAAGTTTCATGTAGCAATATAAGCATAACAGAACCTCCAGGTTTAACCCTTTTTCATCCAGAATCAAAGTTAGGGTGATTTAGTTCACTTGTATTGCTACAAGCTCATGCAGATGTAACAGATCATAATAGTTGCTGCACATGTTTGCCATGCCCTTAGATTAAGACTTATTAACTGCCAAAAGATCTAAGTTCCTAAATGCTTCACCAATTTTTGAAAATGGGACTTGGGTTCATTTAAATAGTTTACTCCCAAAATGTTTATGGTTATTTATACATGTACGCCCCCGCCGCCCGCCCGGAGCGCAGTCCAGCACAGCCCTGGCCCCGCCCCCCTTCTGCGCAGATTGGGGGGCACGCACCATGCCCCCCCGAACTAGTGGTGGGAGCACCAGCGGGAACTGCTGGTTGAGCTGCCAGCGTGCAGTGGCAGGAGCTGCCGCCCCCCGCGCCCGCCCAGCCCTGGCTTGGCAGCGCTTATTCCAGCCCCAGTCCTTCCCTCACCACGGGGGTCATTTTTTCAGTAAGCATTGTGATTGGCTGCTGAGACAACCAATCAGAGTGCTCCTGACAGACAACAGACAGAATAAGTCTATTATTATTATAGATTTGGTCATCACTTCTATGTGCTCAGGGAGAGCAGGGTCTGGCAGTAGCTTCAGGGAGAAGAAGTTGGGTGACAGAGGTCAGGTGGGCTACCTGAGCCCCCCCCCGCCCCCCGATTTATTTTCCCTGCTGTAGTAGTGGGAGGGGAACAAATTCAAGGCAAACCTCCAGTAATTAAATTCTGTACCTGGAAAATTATATTAAACAGACATTTTCCATCTAATTATTGGAAGGTCATCTTATATTTGAGTAAATACGGTATTTCCCTATAAATGCAGTTTAAGATATGATAGTCATATTTTTTTTGGGGGGTGATATCTTTTATTGGATCAAGTGTATAGTTGGGATAAAGTTAGACAAGCTTCCTAATGCAAGGCAGTCCTCAGGCCAGCTGAAGAAAAATGTTTTGCATTTAAAAGCTTGCCTTTTGCATAATTCCTGGACCATCATGGCTACAACACCACCCTAATACTGAGCGTCTGTACATACTCTTTTGGCTGAAAAATAGGGGTAAAGTGATCATTGCACAAAAGGCAGAGATGTTGGTTGATTACATGTCTTATCTTTTCATTTAGCAGTCTTCTCAGAAGAAAAGTCACTTTCTTACTGACAGCCCCATGTTGCTCAAGACATCTAGAAGAACTGACTTTTCCTAAGGAATAAGATGCAATACAGAAGGCTGGCGTGATCAGGACAAACTCAGAAATGACCATGCAAAAGAGACTTTTTAAAAGTTCCTAGTTGTTTGAAGCAAAGTACTTTTTACAGATGAAAGAAGCAAATTGTTATTGCTGCCATCAATAAAACCACAGTGCACTATTCCATTCTTTGCCTTGTACTTTTTACTGAGCTTTATGCTTTATGCTTTTTATTGCAATTGGAATGTTCTTTGTTTCAGTCTTCCTTCCATTAGAGTAAATAGCAAAATTGTTCTCAAAAGGCAGGATTGGGCCTTTCACATTAAATTATTTTTAGGGTAGCTTTTATAAAACATGTTAAAATACCCCTGCTAATTGTCCTAGAGTGAAAACTTAGAAATATACTTGAATGGTTGAATGACTGATTATTAAATACTAGCTTTCTTAATATTTCAGAATTTGCCTTTTATTGCACATTGTTAGAGGAGAAATTGGCCCCATTTGGGGAATCTACATTTCATTTGAATCCATATATTTGTGTTATATGCACTGAAGAGTATGTAGTATGTTGAAATTAAACTCTTGTGCATGGGACAAGTACAGGATTTGCAGTCTTCCCATGTCCAAATTAAGCTTAATTTGATATTAGTAAGAGTGAAATGGTATCTTATATTTTGTACTGGTTCAGTATACAGGGGTGAATTTCAAGAGGTAAGTATGGAAGTGTAAGTAATAATAATTTCCTGGGCGGCAGGAGCTGGACCACTCTTTACTAAATTTCTCGTTATGCAAAATTCATCAGGAGCATTCAGTCTACCAGGCAAAGTATGCTGTAATTGAATTCATATAGTATATACAGTATATAACTTACTGTATGCTTACAGATTTGCTTCAATGCTATCAGAGGCATCCCCATTGCAGTTGAACTTTAAAGTTAGCATATTCATTTGTTTTCAGGGTCAGAACTTCACAATACATGTAAAGTGAATCACAATGTCTGGACTATATTTGTGAATAGATTTGCCATTCCAGTAATTCCTAAACCATGAAACATGGCCCATATTGGGCAAACATACTGATGAAAACCTACCACAAGGATAGGTTAGAGCAGTCCATTTGAATAAGAAATATCACGTTTACTTAAATATAAGATGCACCTGCTTGTAAAACAACCCCCCAGGTAATTAGGTTCCTTATATGGAGAATTGACCAAATTGATATAATATTCCAGAGAATTGTTAAACATTTTTGACATAAAACAAATCTAAAAATATTATCTATACATTAGCAACCTTATGTGGAAACTCTTAACTATATAAAGTTACCTCAGCCATCTAGCTTAATGAAGGTTCCTACTTCATATTTCAAACCAGTAGCTGAAGACCAGGATCAGTCTAATCAGTTCAACTAAATTGTACCTGTAACTACAATGACCAAATACCTAAATTATCATAGAAGTAGGGTCAGAAGGGACTTTGTAGATCTTCAAGTTTGACCCCCTGCCTGGGCAGGAGGGAAACTGGGCTCAAGTGACCCCAGCCAAGTAGGCATCGAGCC